TATAAACTATTCCTTTTGCGATCAGCTGACCTAACAATATTATAGACCAGTGAAAACTTCCTTTCGCGCTTAACTAACACTTAAGTCGGTACACATCAGGCGACAAGTTGCAGCAACAAGTCGCGACGACACGTCGCAGCGACAAATTGCTTCGTGTGTACTGGAGAATTGTTGTGAAAATCTTGGTCTCTGCAACGGAATTTTGTCGCAGCAACATGTGGCAAAAAATCAAATCAGACAAAATTTGTGCGCCTTGCTGCGGCAACAAAATTCTGTTGCAGTGACAAAGATTTTCAAAAAATTTCTCCAGTACACAAGAAGCGATTTGTCGCTGCGATGTGTCGTCGCTACATGTTGCTGCAGCTAGTCGCCGGACCTGTACACACAGAGTGATCAGTCGTCGCGACTTGTTGCTGCAACTTGTCGCCTAGTGTGCACCGACCTTTAAAGTTGGTTAGAAACGAAAGGGAAAGTGGGCCGAGTTAACTATTGCAAAGACTTCTGAACTGTCACTGTGGACAGGAAAAAAATGGCCAATGGCAGACCGTCGCTAGTAACGATCCCAAAAACAATAGCCTGCGTTCAATATATTTAAATTCTAACATGACTTCGAGGCTTTCGGCACAAAACCGCAAATTTTTCACGACTCCATTGTCTCGAAATTCCCAGAAGAGACTTCAGCACAAAGAAAACCAAACAAAATATAGAAATATGACCAGAAAGCCTCAGAGCAATATTAGAATTTTAATATATCGAACGTGGGCTATTGCGGAACACATTGGGGCTCCAGTTACCTTCTCGTTTTCAAAGTGGCGATCACAGGCACAGTGATCTCTGACCAACTTCGTGTCTAGAGTTTAACGCGATGGCTAGGAAACGTTGGGAACACCGACCATTCAGCAACGAGCTTGAATTTTCGCGATAAACCTTTTCAACGCCTGATTGTCAATCTGAAAACCAAGCCGATCGTCTATCATGTTATTCTTCAAAACGTGCATGCTCTTTGGCTGTATCAACAATATAGGCTATGGGGTTATGCCTTATTCGAACTACATTATCGCAGCCCCTGCCATTCTGTGAAGGGAAAAGCCCTCCATGGTGACAAGGTCACGCTTACAAATGGACTAGAACTGTGTCCCTCCTCCACGTTCAGCTTCTAATTTTGTTATAAGGACTAAGAGAAATCTCTTTGGCACTTGCCTTAAGCTACAGTGAAAAGGGCAACAAAAACGTGCAACTTGTTTTACAACATTGAATTCAGATTGGTTAAAGTTTCTGGGGAATAACACCATACAAAGAAGTTTGGTCACTTGCCGAAATACAAGTTTGTCTAGGGCCGGTAAAACGCGCAACATTTTGCAGATTTTTTTTAACAAAGTAGAACTGCTCTCTACTTTCAGGGGCACCCAACGAGAATATAGTTCAAAACCACTTAAACATAGCTTGTTAAACGTCTTTTAGTATTTAAACGGTAGATGTAGGCATGCAAAAAATTTTTTCATCTGTTCAACCTAGCTGAAAGTCAGTGATCCGAAAATTATAGGGATCAAAACTTACCTTTTTTTGCCAGAAAAAGACTCCCGAAAATTCTAAGAGGGTCAAAATCCGTTAAAAATAGGCAATTAAATCAATTTTTAGATGTGGTGTAATTTTACAACAAATGTTCCGAAAATTCTAGATCTCAAATCGTCTTCCGAACAGATATTTTTCCGAAAATTGTCGTTGGGTGCCCCTGTACTTTCTGCAACAAATCTTTGCAACCTGCAACAACCTGATTTGTTGCAAGATAGGTTTTAAAGTGGGTGTAACAAAACATCGCTTTCCAACTCGTTTGGCAGCAATGTTGCAAAAAAAGTGGCACCTTTTTGTTGCTTGTTTTACCGTAAGCAGACGAATAAGTACGTCGAGTTGTGTTAACCTTTCAGAAATATTACTGCCTCGACTCAATCCAGAACCATGCGCGCTGGATAAGAGAAATGACGGACGGACACCTGGAATCTGGGCAGGAAATACTGTTGCAGAGTGACTATACTGACTGTTATTTCTTATTATTGTTGCGTTTCAGTGTCAGATTCTTACAACAAAGATGGAAATATCGACATTTACTTTCAACGCTGTCGCCCTCGTTGTACTATGTATTGGGAACGGGATTCCTGTTCGTACCAGTGTGCCGGGGAAAAGCCAAGTGGTCTTTAATGGTAAGTTTGAAACTCTCCAACCTAATCTTTTGAGCTTTTGCAATTCGGCAGACAGAAATTGCTGTGGGTTCTCCTCGCACATTAAAAGTATATTTGCTCGCAATCAAACATAAAGGAAGCCCTTAAGAATATTCCAGAGAACAAGATATCACTTATAGATCTATTGAGCACTGTTTTAAGGTGACTCGACCCAGTTTTTTTGGGGGGGTACCAGCCTACTTTGAAGCTCTCTGGTATCCCCACCTTTACTTTTATCGTAAGTCTAACACATAGAATGGATAACGTATAGATCAGTCTACAATATAACATAAAATTTTTGGCGATCGGAGTAAATGTCACGTGGTTATAATGCCACGCCCCTTTGAGGTCTGAGACGAAAATCGGCTGTTGCCGGCATTTTTTTGTGAAAATCTCTCGGCTACACATAGTGCGCATTAGTGCCTTGCGCTGAACAGAGTTTCACCAAAATCGCAAAGACCCAATTCGAGAAATTCAGCGGTTTCCAAATTTAGGTCATAATTTATGCGAAAATGATAAGCAAACTTTACACGGATTATATCTAATAAACCAAGAGATTCATCCCTTTATTTTGGGCATCGTTATAACAGATGGGTCCTTGCAAGTCAGCAAAACGCTTTAGGGCCTTGTAAATGCGCGCGATTTCGAGCAAAGCAAACATATAGAAATTATAGTTTTCGCTATTTGTTGACGTTTGTCAGCGTTTAAGAGTCCTTCTCACGAAAAAAGCATTTTCTTAAAAATTCGTAGTTTTTTTTCCTTCAAATTTTTTCAGGGCCACAATTGCTTAACTAACTACCCGGACTCTGAATTTCATGGTCATTGAAAAACTGTGACATTATCTTCTATAAGCTCAAACTTGAGTAAACGCTGAAGATTTTTAGCGTTTTGGCTGAGTTTGTGCTTTGGGAGTTGTCTATTGTTTCTAGTCTGTCATGATACAGCATTCTTGTCCAGCACGCGTGCAATGACCACGCTTGGCTGACTTCCGAATGCTCACCGAGACATTCCCGTCACGAGTTGGTTTAATTATTGGCTTGCATTAAACCTATGAAAAAATGATATTTTTGTAATAGTAAGTAGATTTAGTGTGTAGCACTTCTTGATTTTTTTGCAAAGACACAAGAAGCACGAGAATTGATTAAAAATTGTTAGTTAAACCTCTATGTATCACGCGATGGCCTGTCTCACTGTACCAAAATTATAATATCTCGGTGAGCATTCGGAAGTCAGCCAAGCGCGGTCTGCACGCGTGCTGAACAAGAATGCTGTATCATGACAGACTAGAAACAATAGACAACTCCCAAAGCACAAACTCAGCCAAAACGCTAAAAATCTTCAATGTTTCCTCAAGTTTGGGCTTATAGAAGATAATGTCACAGTTTTTCAATGACCATGAAATTCAGAGTCCAGGTAGTTAGTTAATCAATTGTGGCCCTGAAAAAATTTGAAGGAAAAAAAACTACGAATTTTTAAGAAAATGCTTTTTTCGTGAGAAGGACTGTTAAACGCTGACAAACGTCAACAAATAGCGAAAACTATAATTTCTATATGTTTGCTTTGCTCGAAATCGCGCGCATTTACAAGGCCCTAAAGCGTTTTGCTGACTTGCAAGGACCCATCTGTTATAACGATGCCCAAAATAAAGAGATGAATCTCATAGTTTATTATATATAATCCGTGTAAAGTTTGCTTATCATTTTCGCATAAATTTTAAGTATATTTCGTAAATAACTAACGATAAGAATTTTACTAGAGGTCAAGATAAATATTTTATCTTTCGTGATCATTTCCTTTATCCTAATTACCTTTACCTGCAATTAAGAAGCTACAGTCTCAGTCAAAATGGTTGGGACACTTTGGGGTCTCCTTGTCCCCTCAATGTTGGTGTACAAGATTTGGTGACCGAACCGCGATAAACAACTTTGAGAGGGACGAGGTTGAGCACGAGAAGGGAAAAAACAGCGTTTGGCTAAAGTGTCCCAACTATTTTTGTCTGAGACTGTAGAAAAAAAGCAATGCCTCAAAAAAGTTTAGCAGGGGCTGTTTACAAGTTGCCATCGTGTGTCAACGATATGAGAGACTAGCAGTTAAAATGTTTTGGGCGATTACTGTGCTTAGAGAAAGACAAAGCCTTGAAAAACGCTTGGAAGCAAAAAGAAAAACCAATGATGAACGTAGCGTTTGTGACTTCAAAAATGGCCTAAACCTGCTCAAATCCTCGAACAATCAAGCATTACGAGGCAAGTTTGCCGGGTTTTTTTAGATGGTGTTTTTAACGTAAAAAGCCTTGTTGCCGTGTGTCCGTTCAGTTATAGATTACAGAAGACTGTGGTAAGAAAATCAGCGACACACTAGCCTGCGGGTCCTGTGCCACGTTTTTGGTTCTTACCACATTTTGACGTAATCTGTCACATACGCACAGCATCTTGGAGTCCCTTAGTTAAACAGACCATGGGAATGACGTGATCGGGGCATCTTTCTGAATTTTGTATAAAAATTTAAATGGCAAAATGATAATAAAATAAATAAATAAATATATAAATGTGTATTTACTCTTTCTCTTCCGCGCCATTTTTCCGAAACGTTGCAGTGAAACCATTACTCGAGTTTTTATCATTTTGACGTCATTACTATTGTCGATATAGAGAGAGTGTAGACCATGCAAAATTGTCGTCAATTTGATAAACAGCTATACCTACAAGATTCATGCTTAACTCTTCTCACTTTGTTTTTTGTTTATGACTGAGGTGTTCGCCCTTTGATTTGTTTCCTTTGTAAATAGGGAACGAAGAAGAGTTCAAGGTTTTCTTAAACCAGGTGTACCAGAAAATCCAAGTCAACGTTGACGCAAAGATCCAGGTTAAAAAGAACGTTTATGATAAGATAGCCAAGATCATGGCAAAAGTAGCAAAGTACGATCCTTGTTACAACTTCAGAGTTGAGTTCAAGGGCTCCACCTACGAGGGCCTGAAAATCGACAAACCAGACGAGTTCGATTTCTCATTGGTAAACGACAATTGGGCCGGCAAGATTTCTCTTCTGGAAGATGCAACCACGCCCGTCGGCTTTGGCTACGCGGTACAGACCGTTAAGACATGCCTAGATAAGTTTAAAATACCAGGAACTAGGCGCATTGATGCTGGCAAAGTCAGATGGCATTTACGCGAGTTGGTGGAGAAAGCGATAGAAGAGTCAGGACTGCAAGGACACATAGTGAAGCGACCCTGGGAAGGGGGACCTGTAGTCACGTTTGAAATCCTATGGCCAGGGTTTCCTTTTATAAGCATCGATTTGGCAATAAGTTTAGAACTTCAGCATTGGCCACCCGAAGCTAGATCACCACCTCCCGGCATTAAGAATCCAAGGGCGGAGCTTGTACCCAAAGTAAAACCTGGAGCAAACCCAGCATTTTGGCTAATTTCCTCTGCCAAGGTCGAATCACAGATCATGCAAAATATCGACAACGACGGCGGATGCCGAAAAAAAGTCCTTCAGCTGGCTAAGTACTTCATGGGAAAAGGTCTGTCAAAGTGGCATCCACTAGCCACGTACCACCTTAAAACCATTTTGTTCCATATGAATGATCGCTGGAAGTTAACCGGCGACTGGGCACAAGGAAAGCTAGTCACCCGGTTTAGGGAGTTAATTGATCGCCTTTTGGGGCACATCCAAAAAGAATCTCTTCCAAGTTTTTTCATGCCCGGTTTGAACTTGTTCGAGGATAAGCCGAACATCAAATCTGCTAAAACAGGAATCGATCTATTTTTGAAGATGCTTAAAAGTAACCCACAGGATTTGATGAGGGACAAACTCTATAATGGAGCGGTTACTCCTTAGTGCATTTACATGAAAGAACTTTAATCTGCACTCTTGAATTGTATAAGGAAGAATGCAAATAAAAACAGGAACTGTGCAATTTGTCACAAGGCGATAATTTATCAGCGAATTACCTTGCCAGCAATATCCATTCTAGTAAGCCTAAATTCAGTTTACGTTTGCTGATGTGCACAAACGTTTGTGTTTACGACAGACCACGCTTTTCAAAGCATTTTCCCTTGAAGCTTAGCATATCAGTTAACTGCTCTTTGTTCGAACAATCCCTAAACCTCGGCCATTTTGTGACCTAGCAGCCACCCACATGATTGCATTAACCAATTAACCATTTCAAGTACTGGTGCTCATCCTTTCGAGCGAAAAATCGTTTTCATTAATACGCAAATAGACCTTTTCAGTTGCCATGTTTTGTTATTCTAATTCGGACCACGTGATGTTGTCAAGAGAAGTTGCCGAAAAGTAATTTCATAAATTATGCATACATATGTACCTGGAAAGGACGACATTTTGAAAGAAACAAAACAGCTGGGGTAACATTACATGGTCCAAAAGCGGGGAAACAAAACGTACAAGCTAAAAAGGTCTAGATGACCACGTTAACACGGATCCGGACAAATGCTAAAACGGAAAAATACTCGCGCAGATCAGCCTTTCGTTTACAGGAGAAGTGAGGAATCGCGCAACTTTTTGAACGACAAACTGTGCAAGTATTTAACCTGACCAAAAGATGGTCAAAATTTTTTCGGTTCCAATCGTGTAAACACCTCAACCGAAAATTGTTTTGCACAATTTGAGCGGTAAAAGAATTGGGCCTAGTTACACGCCTCTCATAAGTGAAAAAGTCGGCCTCGTGTAAACAGTACTGCCATCTGTTGCACGGTTCCGTGAAAAGGGGGATCACAGGTAAGAAATTCGTCCGCTCAAAAAATCTCTGGAGCCGTGTGACCGGGTTCTTGAACTCATTTTCGCATAAACGGTTGTGGAGCAGGTCTCGCGTTTATTAACAGGCTTATGGCAACTCGAAAATGGACCACTGACCCTGTGATCAAAGTTGAACGCCATCTTTTATCTCATTCAATTAAAAACCAATTTAATAATAGTTATATATTGACTTGGGTAACACCACACATATAAGCTAAACAAAAACAGACAAACTGGTAAGTGTGGTATACACGTACAGTTTTCACTCGGACATTTAAATTTTACAGTTGTAGACCTACAAATTACTTGATGTTCGAAAAATTCCCTTTTCCACCATGAGGAATTAACCTTCACGACTGTACACTGACTGCATACTGGGCAGCAAACTGATCGAAATCTTTTTCCTGGATAAGGACAAACACAAAGCAAAACCTCATGTTAACTGCGTTCGGAACCCTTACCCTGTGCATGGGTCGTGCGCCCAACGCATTGAGCTGTAAGAGTGATAACGATCTAACTTTAAGCATAAACATTTCAAGGGAGTTTTATCTTGAGGATTGTCAATATTTGGAATTTTGCAGTTAGAAGTTCTGTGATTTGGAGTGATCGACAGTGTCTGCTGGAAACCATTCTTCCTGGTTTCTGATTTAAGACTAAATGGGCTAACTGTTAGTGTAATTGTCAATATTTGTCCATTGTTAGCGCCTAAAATGGCTTACAGTAAATTTAAATTTTCAATGTCAAAGAACTTACTGTAATTATTTACCATGCTGATGTCAGATTTGGGTTTAATGAATTGGGTTAATTACCTGATAATTTGAAAGCTAAACCATTAATAATTGTAACTTTTCGATTTATCTCTACATTTAAGCATGCATAATAAGCACAACGCAAGCGTAAGCAAAAGTATGAGCATAAGAAGCTTATGCGCTAGTATATGCATAAGCACTGTAAACAAAAGAATACGAAAACCTTGCGTTTTTCTTAGGCTTACGCTAGCCTGCGCCACAGACAAAACTAAACTCTGGTTAAGTCCTTCTGCGAAACAGCGCTGAAATCCTTGTTCTAGGCCCCCACCTGTGTGCTAGGAATTGAGTAAGCGCAATGATTGGCCTGTTAAAAAAGCCATTGTCGATTTGCCAATCAGGATGAAAGGAAGTTCGTAAAGCACTTCCGGTAATTCTTTGAGTCTATTGGGGGCCCAGAACAGACGTTACTAACAAAGTTAAGGTCCTGTTCAGACGCCGAACTTTTCATGAGCCGAACCTAATACACCTGTGCATTGAATCAAGTACATGAAAAGTTCGGCGTCTGAATCAGTTAGGAACGCCTGTTTCAATTTGGAATGGCTCAGCCGTTCTTTTCGCCTGGCCCGGCCGGGAATTTCGCCTTTGGAGCGACTTTAGAACGGCTTTGATTCAGACGCTGAACTTTTCATGTACCGAACCTAATAAGTAAATTATTATAACGTATTTGTAAGTAGTTTGACCGAAATGAGCATTTTTCTCCTTTTGAATTTAGTTCGGCTGGAATTAAGATCGGCGTCTGAATCAATTCAGCCGGTCTAAATAATTTGGGTCGGCCTTAATTCGAATTAGGTTCGGCTCATGAAAAGTTCGACGTCTGAACCCGGGCCTAAATTACGTCTGCAGCGCCGGTTAGCTTATGCTCATGCTTATGTTAAGGCTATCCTCACTAATGCATAGCCTTGTTACACTCGCGTTGTACCTACTCTTGTGCTTACAATGTATGCTTGTGCTTGTGTCGCTTGTAGGGACGGGACTTAAGTGTTCTGGAGCTATCCCCATCCGATCCCATATTCTACTCTACTTTTCTACTGCTTTCTACGAAACACTGACATCTAAGTACATGTATTAAAAAACCTTACCTTTCGTTGAAAATCTTTCGTGAAAGGGTGATTTGGATGGCCATCTTTTAGCTGTGAAATATATCGTGTTGTGACCTGAAAGAGTCAAAAAAGGGAAAGAGCAGTCAGAGAGCAATTCAGTCGTTTTTAATGATACGAATCAGTTAGTAAAAGAAGTAGTTGTATTTTTTTTGTCACTTAATGTGTTATGCAACAGGGTTTTCACTAAAAGCCTGTCACCAATGGTCTACTGGCTCCTAAAAGGCCTCTTACTGCCACCCGTTAAGATTTTATTCACAGGATCTTGGTTTGTGGTCAATAAAAATTAGTCGGCTTGATGGAGGTGTTGGTTTTGGATCATGTACTGACAGCGTTTCCTCTGCCAAGGCCAATAACTATCATTTTTTCACATTCTTAATCTTAAGCCAAAGTTGGCCAATACCATTACATGTTGCTTTTGTTAAGTCAAGTAGATTTTTGTTGATCTTAAACATCTTGTTATCCAATTTCATGATAAAACAGAAGGTACAGAGGAAACCCCGCCTTGTGACTACCCGTTTATACGACCATAATTATTCTTTCGATCCAAACGTAAAAATCACTGAGTCGTTTTATTACTTTGATGACAACGTTACTGCGACCACCCCATTACGACCAGGATTTTACGGCCCATCGGTGGTTGCATTGACGGTGTTCCACTGTATTTTGCAAAAACGATTTGGAAAGTTAGCAAGCTAAGCAAAGATTCGATAACAAAATGTCTTTTCATAAGGAAACCAGCTGTTCAAGGTAAAGTACAAAAGATTACAAAACTGAAATGGAGAATGTGATATGTACCTCAGGGGCTTTTCCTAGGTGCTGTGACAATACCACCATGTTAATGAGAGTCTCAGGATTACTACTATCCTACAAAGCAAAAAAGAAAAGGAATAATAACATATCTTCAGATTTTGCCTGACTACAAAAGAGTTCAATCAGGATTCATTACTCTTTGTGATTCACCTTGTACACCTGCATTGTACAACAAAGTATTTATTCGACTGATTTAGCAACAGGACGGGAACGTCAGTTGATGACGGGAAAGCGCGCGGAAAGGACTAAACACGACTTCCGGTTCCCAGTTTGCCGCTCTGCCATTGGCCAGGCCAGTTTTTTAATTTGCGCGTGCCGTCGTCAACTGACGTTCCCGTTTTGTTGCAAAATCAACCTATTATAACTTAAACTTACTTTGTCTAGAGCATCCTGAAGCACACTCTCTGCATCTTCAAACTTTCCCATGTGCATATATGCAACAGCCTGACCATTGAGCAACATGACAGTGGGTGTGTATTTGTCAGAAAGCTCTTGAAAAATATAGTATGCATCCTGATATTTCTCTCCACCCTATAAAAACGATTAATATAAAAGTGTACATACATGTACAAATTATACAGACTTTCAGACAAGGGGGTGGGGTGGGGGGGGGGTCATCCAAACCCTGAGATAAGAGGGGGGGCAGTCTCAAAAAAATTTTTTCAGCCCTTCAGGCTTCAGTTTGGTCTAAAAATAAGGGGGACCCTCCCCTGGATCCGCCAGTATAGCCAGTATAGCCAGTGAGTGTATAGCCTGTATATGTATGGCCTGTATATCCTGTATAGCCTGTATAGCCTGTATAGCCAGTGAATGTATAGCCTGTATATCCTGTATAGCCTGTATAGCCTGTATAGCCAGTGAATGTGGCAACTGATAGTTGAACATTAAAGGACATTGAGGTAATTCCCTTGAAAAGGGAAAAATGTGATTAAAAGACGGGGTCGCCATGTTTGGTTTTGCACTACCTGCTTCTTATTCTAATTGTTTTTTTTATTGAGCTGCATGCATGGCTTGAAAGTTGCCACCTTAAATGTTGTAATGCAATTTGAAAGAGGTGATGTGCAGTGTGAAACACGGGAATTACCTTAATTGTTTATCAATTATGCTTATACATATAGTCATCTGTTTATTAATCATTTATTTATCTACTTACATGAACCCACTTACTGAATCACATGCTAATTAATCAATTTTACAGGCTTCCCTTACAATAGGCAAAAGAGGTCCCTGCTTGCATAAATGTCACTTACAAATGGAACACTACAATTGAGAATAACAAAAATTAAATGTTATTGCTGGTAAAAATTTTCAAATTTTCTTACCACAGCAAGATTAAACCATGCGAGGGACAGTTGCGTCAGTGTAGCATCATCATCTAGGTCCTACAGTCAGGTGAAGAAAACTTTAATTCACATAAATTTTCATTGCCTTATTCTACTGACGGTATTCTGCAAACTTAATCACAGTGAAATGAAAGTAATTTGAAAACAAACCTGCATTCTTTTTAGTTCTTTCCTAATGAAAGAGAATTTGAAACAAAAAACAAGAGAGAGAGAAAAAAAAAAAACAGAAATTAGCCCAACAAGCACATTACTACCCTTTTAAAGAAAGTGCTATATTTACTCAAATAAGCGCCGCAGTGCGATATAATTCACCATAACCAGCTACTGATGACCAAATTTGGAAGAATTTTGCATGTAATGAACCAATGACGTCAAAAGTAGAGCTTTTTGGCAGGTTAATGCACCGTTAACCGAGAAGACCTGGGGATGAGGTTGAGTTGTTTTGGTTGTGAGAACAAAAATGGCGGACATTTCAGCCGTGTGCAGAGTAAGAACTAGGCAAAATAATAGCTAAAAACATAGCAAGAACAGTAAGAGGACAACTCGCAGGGCGACATCTGCTGTTTGGAGAATATTTCTGTTGTTGTTGTTGTAAAGCCGAAAAAACCCTAAATGTGCACTATCGAAGATGAACTTAACATTGATGGAGCGATGGAGGTATGCATGTTTTAGCCATGTCTTTAAACTAGGAATTATTTCAAATGAATAATAAAACATTATTGAATTCGGCTTTCGTGTCATATGAAGAATTAGGGAGATCTCGGAAGGTGTTATCCGCCCGATAACACCCTCCTCGATCTCCATAATTCTTCATAAGATACTCACCCTCATTCATTAATTGTTAATTATTCAATAACAATAACCGTAATTTCGTATCAAATAAGGCTGCTTGTACTAAGTGCTGGTCCATTGTATTCAAAAGCGCTTACATGCAGGCCACGTCTACATGAATCAGGAGATGCTGAAACCGCATACACTGTACTGGATTTTTGTAATCAACTCGAATTTTATAGTGTGATGCATCTGGTTTGGATTCACCCATCCACACCAACAGACCTTTCCCGCATTGCGCTCCAGTAAGCAAACATAAAAAAATGAGGACAAGGCTCGGGTGGACAATTTCATACAAATCACTGTATTTTGTCCACCCGAGCCTCGAGTTGGCGCCTTTGTTCACAGAAATGCAGGAAAGGTCTATAACCTACTCAGTGTGATTTATATTTGCTAATTGCTAGCTAATAGGCATGCGCAATCCAAGCTCACAACGTGATTTTGCATCATTTTTTAATGTTGTTGTACCTATATCAAGCTTAACGGCCAGGTCTGCCTGTACACTTGTTCACTCTAGACAAACCCAAAATGGTCTTTGACGAGGTTCAGAATGCAGACGTTTTACACACCTTAGTCTCAAACTAAAAAATTCCACAATCTGGATGAGTCTTTGAAATGGCTAATCTTTGGCATCAAAATAGCAAAATTGATCTCTATGCATGCAATATGACTGGCGATTAGAGCCAAAAAATTCGCAAACAGAACATTGTTGCCTGCCATTTTCAACTTGAAAGTTTTCATTGACTGGACCTGAGTTTATGACGAAGTTGACGTTTCAGTCGTCCACACAAATTCACCAAACCTGTCAGATCCAAAAAAATCCACTCTGGAGATGGGTTTAAAAAATATGCGGTTTCAAAAGTAATCGGATTTGTATGGACGGTGCCTTAGTAATCTTGCAGCTAAAAAAATAACAGTTAACTGTTTTACTCACTTGGCAAGATCTATTCTGTCCATGCTGATGTATATTTGAACAGACAAAGCAGAGCTATGAAAACAATAATACAAGTAATAGTTTTGACAAAAAGCAAAGCAGGACTGGCATCTAAGGTTCTTGACTCAAACTGTCTGGTAACATATTTATTACAAACAATTCATGCACCATACCAATGAAACACCTACACATTGTTTCTTTGCTTTTTAGCCGGTTGTTTTTATAATTTAATACTGTAGCTATCACTGATTAATGTGCTAACAGGCAGGCTTAACTGATTGTCAGAATATATAAACACATAAAAAAATGTAGCTTACCACTCTAAAGACTCAGACTGATGAAGACATCTTAATGCAGACTCAAAATTCTGTTTTCAACAAAAAGCAATCAGATGGTAGAAGGTTTACAGAAGCACCTCAAACAAGATGAAACATTCATTGCAACTGCATGTACGTGGTGAAAAAGCTTTTATGTTTCCAGACACATTATTTTTTCAAGGTACATGTGAGAAGTGGTACAGTGTAAATGTAGAAGCAAAGAAAAGCAAAAGGAAATAAAAAATGTCACAAACCTGTTCATTAAAGTAGATAGAGGCTGCCATCAATAAGTCATAGTCATTGAGATCACTGGAGTTTAATTTCTTTTCTATAGACTTCAGGATGGAGTCCCTACATTGAACAACAGAAGTACAATGTAATAAATAAGACAGCCTTAGCTCTCGATGTACCGTTAAGTTATGGACACCTACAGACTGTACAGCAAATTGTGAACACTTTCCAAGGTCCAAAAGATGAAAGTTTCAATGAAATCTTCATTATTAATACGGGTACCACTATAACCTGGACACTGAGGACTAAAACATCCTCATGGTTAGAGGTGTTTAAATACAGTTCTCAAAAACTGTACCATAGTCACTACTAGCACAGTTTTTCTGATCAATGTACCTAAAAAATCCGAATTGGTTTGTCAGATGTAGTGGTATCAAGTCTTTTTTGTAATTTATTCCAAAATTGCTGCTTCAGTGATACTTGCAAGATGAGACACTCATCTCCAGAGATACAACACTTGTCTTACCAGATAAGAAACGAGTAGCCTGTTCCAAGCGTTCAGATAGTGGAGAGCGGTGCAGAGTAAAGAAAGCGATGAGAAGTAGAGGGAGACTGGGGAGAGAGGTGCGGGAACGCTTGTAAGAATTTTTAACAAAAGTGCGTTCCGGTATACCAGATCCTGGTATACCCTCTGATTAGTTGATTTTGACAGTTTTTGTCAACAGTGGAGCATCTTCAATCACAGCGAGAAATGCGATATGGCCGTTATGACAGACTCTACGTGCCGTCACGCAGAATTCAAACTCGCAATAAACACAGCACTGAGTGACTTTCCAAATGTGGGGGCTAAAAGCGAAGAGCAAAGAAACTGTTTAAAACACGTAGTCGGTAGGATAGATGTCTTAGCAATTTCTCACCGACTGGCTTTGGAAAAATTCTTATTTTCCAGCTTTTTCCTCGAATAAAGCGTGCGTTGGAATGACGGCAGGATAGAATGCCATTTACGATTGTTGTTGTAACTCCATTGATTACCATCATGGAAGACCAAGTGGAATATTTGAACAAAATCGGAGTAGCGGCAGCAATGATGGGAGAAGATGTGGGTGAAGCCGTTAAAAGTGGAAGCTGTGAAATTGTTTACTGAAGTGCCAAATCGTGGTTGTCCAATGAATGGACAAAAGGACTTCAAAAAGGAAAGTTTGGAAAGCAAGTTGCAACTATCGCTATTGACGAGGTCCACTCAATCACCGAATAGTAAATTTTCCCTTCAATTGTTGTGCATTTTCATTGCTTGAGTTAACGATCTGTATTGAAACGGCTTTCTATCGAAATGAGCGATATTTGTTTGTCACTTGATTCATAATTTTTTTGTCACGTACACGCTGAAATCATGTTTTAAAGCCGTACATAAATTCATTATACATGAATTCTTCTCCCGTTTTCTATTGTCTGAAAGACTTACATTGGGTTTTTAGTAAGATTATGTATACATAATATTAATTTTTGATCTGACAAAATTCGATTTATTCGCAAGAAAAATAATAAATGCATCGGGCTGTAACACCAGTCTTGATTGACAGGTGAAGACCACCTACAGCTGCGGTCTGACTGGGCGGAAGAGTCTATTTAAAACAAATCTAACAGGCGTTCCCTCTCTCACCTCTCCTCCTCCCTCGCTTTTATTTTTTCGCGCTCCTTTTTACTTCGCACCGCTCCCCACTATCTGAACGCCTGGAACAGGCTAAGAAACGAGATGAGACTGATAACTTATTTTTGAACCGTACTGTACATAAAAATTATGACTGCTATATTATTTTTATCATCAACCACCTTTTAGAGTACCCATACTGGTTTGCAGGTGAGAATTCAGTTCCTTAAATAATCATCATCATTGGGCAACCAAAGAGAAGTCAACTGTAAATCTAACAGGCAACTGGCTTGGTCTTGGCAAGTGCACACAATGTCATATAATAATACCCTTTCACAACTACTCAAAATATATCATTTCTCCATGACAGGCTTTTAAAAATCCCCTCACTAAAGATTCATAACCAGTTAGCATTGCTCAAATTTGGGAGTTGTTTGGTGACATCGACGCAGTTATTGATATCAACAAAAAATGGGACGTATAAGCATCATCCCAAAAAGTGGTGCAGTGGTTCAGTTGTTTGTTTGTTGTTTTGATATATAGTGCAGCACTGGTATTTTTACATGCTGAGTACAGCCAAACTACTGCCTTAAAAACATGCCGGTAGTAAAAACAAAGAAAAATGACATATGACAGTCGCTAATGGCAACTGCTATATATACATGTAATCTGCTAGAATAAACATCATCTCAGAAAATGCCAGGCAATATAAACACAGGAACTTTACATAGAAGGTTTGAAAGTTTTGAGCCTGGAAATATCTTCAGTTAACTCTCTCTGCAATGGACACCTTTGGGAGAGTCACTATGTATCTGTGTTATTAAAAGTAAACTAACAGGAGTAAAGAAAGGCAGCGACCAACTCTAGGTGTCTGATCTAGTGAGGTGTGTGTTTTAAAGAGCTGTCTGTCAAGATAAATCTGACTGTAATGAATCATGAGATTCAGATATTGTAAGAAATGAAGATTTATGGAGATCATATGTGGTAGAGCCAGATCAAATAAATGCTAATCATTAAGCCATTACAGTGCTGGAAATAGTTTTTCTTACTTAAAAGGACATACATGTACGTCCTTTAAAACTTTCATTTTGATAGGACATATTAAAAAATTGGTCAGTAATTGATTAGCATACCATATTTACTCGAATAAGGACCACAATGCTTATTCAATTTCTAACACTTCAAATGCGGCACTTATTCGAGGGCAGTTTGAAATTTTGCGTATCAAACTGACAAAATTAACATCTTTTGATTTTGATTATAACAGGCCACAGTACCTTTTCAGGGGCGGTGTTTATTAACTTTTTGTCCCAAATGGAACACTTGTTCGAGGGTGTCACTCATTCAAGAAAGCGTTATGATTTCTCCTAGTTGGCCTCAAATCACTTGATAGTCCATGGCAAGAAAACCCAAGCAATACTTCTGGGTAATTGCCCTCTCAAGAACCTGCTCTGAACCTGTTTTACCTTTTAATGTTTCTGAAATCAGCTCACAGAGGTTAAGAAGTTTCTATGACAAGAGCTAAGTCAATCCATCAATTAAGTTCTCGGACATTATGTCCGAACATATTGCAATATTTGTCAGACATTTTGGAAATTTTGATCGGACAATGTCCGATGTCCTACAGTAATTTCCAGCACTGCATTAGGTATAATTGAGTACCCCAAATGACAGGTGTGATGCCTGAAAGTGTGATACTGCACTCAGGATTAAAAAATTGTGCTTATCATTGCATAATTTAGGAAAAGCTCATTATTATGTGTCGATACTATCCTACTTATACAACAAGTTTCACATAGGCCAATGAAGGTCATACATATATTAATGCATTCCACTGTACTACAAGTACAATGGCCAACATGTGATATTAAAATTCTAACATGACTCCTAGGCCCCCAGGTCATATTTCTGTATTTGGTTTGGTTTTCTTTGTGCTCAAGTCTCTCCTGGGAATTGTTAAACAATGGAGTCACAACAAACATGCAAGTTTGTCCTTAGAGCCTCAGAGACATGTTAGAATTTTCATATGTTGAACATGGGCTATTTTGTATCTTTGTCATGATCATCAAACAAAAATAGTGGTCATAATAATAAAGGGAACACAGACCTTTTGTTAGGATTCTGGTGATAATCAGCTAGCATTCTCACTGGCTGTACCTCTGGAGGAGATGTTGATGATACCTCATCTAGAACAACTCTGTGTTTGCCCTATGACATACAAATTCATGTAAATTAATTCTATTTCATGGAATTTGATCGTATTACTTAGTAAACAAGGACATAACATTAAATACCTTAGTTGAGTTAGTTAACATTTTGCTGTGTGCATACATTCAGCCACTGCAACTGAGCGCTGACTCTGTGTGCCAGAATAACTCGATTATTTATCTGATATTACTTTTAGACTAGAATTACAAGAAATGAATTAGCCATTGTAGATGCCAATTTCCCTGCTTGGCTCGGCAAACAAAACTATTGGTCATTGCTAAAAAGTAAACAAACAAGCACTTGTCTTGCTATTCACTTCTGTTTGACTTCTGCTGCAGTTGCGTTTAATTATAATGTCAGATAATGATGAAATAATCTTGGAGAAAGCTACGGTTATTTTTTTTTTTAGTGTTTTGCTTAGAAAGTGGCTGACTGTATTTAAAAAAAGTTGTGATGCATGTAGAAGTTTCAAAGTACACATGCAAATTTACTTATATTTTTACACAATTTCGAAGTGAGTGTTTTATGTTTTGCTTTGAATGGTACACTTGGAGATTTATTATATTAGCTATTCAGTTTTTTCCAGGTTATATATTTTGTGTTTTTTGTAGGACAGCTTGCAAAGATTACCATTTTGACAACTATTTCTGACTAACTTCAAGATCATATTTCTCCTTTACCATCGCGGCTGATCACACGACCCGACTCAAGTTTTGCACCAAAAACAAACACATATTTTATACTTCACAAGATAGCCTTCATACAAAAATACACAGACACAATCGTCCAACATTTCAGATAAGCAACCTATCGTTACCCCATTTTTTTTTTCGGCTTAAAGTGAAACTTTTACTCGTCAAAGTGTAAGATAAGCAGTGCACAGGCATGAAACCACTGTTGTAGTTAACTTTTTATCTCAGATAATTTTTGTTTTTCTTTTGTTTTTGGGTATTGCAATGTATGCTAATGAAGTTGTAAAAACAGAGAAAAAATAAAAATTGCCTCAGATAAAAAAATATTAAAACTACAACATATGCATTGAAAGAGCATTAACTGACCTGTGCTGTGTAAGCCCTGTACATATAAACATCCTTTTCAATGGCTAACTCGCGTGAAGAGGGCTAGAAACAAATTAGACACAGACGTCATTATCGTCAACGAGTGGTAACCGATTTCACTCGGGCCACTGAATACCCTAAACTGCATAAGATGCTGCAAGGCTTACGTGCAACTTCTGAGCTTCATTCACACAGAATTGATAATTTCCAATGTAAAAGGAATTTCTTATTTCGAAGAGTTCGTCCACGTCACCACTCGCCGCCATGTTGCTTTTCTTCGCTCTTCTTTCGTGAGTATTCGTCACCAGGACCAGACGAGCGTCCTCGCATTGAATCATTGGGGTAGGTACTTCATATATGATTCCTATAGTGTACCGATATATAGATTCTTATAGTGATGGGTAGGTACTTCATCTGTGATTGCAGTGCTGGCAATGGACTGAATCGAAACGGGATCGTAAATACTCATTTTTAACATTTTCTTTTAATAGTATAGTCTATTTAGTGTCCCCAATTAGTCCCTTTGGGCTAAATACTCTGACACTTAAATAAAGGTTGTTATCTTTAATATCTTATCTTATCGTTGTTGGAATTGTTTGGTGACGCCATGTTTGTTTCAGGGTGCGTCCATAATCGGATTTGCGGTCTCAGATCTACGGATTCTTCACTACCAAAAAAACGGAAGATCCAAAAAAGGATCATTTACCATGACAACGGGATGTCCTCGTGCTCCTCGTACGAAAAAAAAAGAAACAACGAACTGATCCTCATAGCGAAGACAAGAAGAAAAAGCAACATGAGGTACGAATGAATATACGAAATGAATATATTTCGGTTGAAACACAAACATTTCTCGAATAGAATACACTCCTTAGGATATTAAAATTATAAGAATTTTTGTGAAGCCGGAAAATCACTTGGAAAATAAACCGGCGTAAGCAGACACTATATACGTACAAAAAACATGACAACTAACGGTTTTATGGATTCATGATCCGTTTTTGGATTTGTCCAAAAAAACGCAAAATCCGTTTTTGGATTCCGAAATCTGGATTTGGATTGTCCCAAAAACTGTCTGCAAAAATAACATTAGTATGACTAACAAAACAATAATTATCGAATGGAAAAATAAATTATCATTGTATTAAGAGAAAAATACCATAAACTCAATCAATACTCAAAAAAAATTAATTATAGCACACAAAACACTAATCCGCAACCGTAAAATTATTTGACCAACAGACAAAAATAATTTCAAAGAAGCATAATGATAATGACGGTAATTCCTGGAAAGAAAAAAAGAATAGTGACGCATGGAAAAGTTAAAAAGACTCACTGAACACGAAAATAATTACAGGTATAGGTAAAAATAGTTACAAACAGACAGAATAGTAATAGCAGGAACTCATTAAATTAATTCACCAAGAGGAAAAAATTAATTATGCAATTTTGACCAGAACGGGCCTTCATAGAAAATACCTCACCTACATTTTTAGTGGAAAACTTCAGTTTGACTATTTCTCGGAACCTCGTTACTCTTTCCAGAAAGAAATCCTGAACCGACTTTTTTGGTGGAAAAAAAGGAAAAAATCAATTAGAGTTATAATTCAGTTGATTATAGTAAGCAGGTGCGGTAGCTTTAAGTTCATCCTTACCATTCAGTCAGATCAATGTGACTGATTACACATTGTTAGTTTTGGACTTGACCAGTGTTTCGTTAGCCTGAATTTCCAATGAGCAAAGAGGATTCCGATTAGCAGCTGAAACGTTACTCACGTTCGAACTCCGATTACCAGTCTAAATAATTGTCAATTACATCAACAGATGAGTCGCATCTTTTAGCAATTTACGTAAACTGCAGCTCTCGAAAATTTCTTTTCACTACTATGTTCATACAGTCTCCGTTGGGACAAAAGGTCTTATCTCGACAATTTATAGTTTGAAACTGAAAACACTTCAGGGGATATTATCGCCCCTTTTCACCTGCGTCCCCTAAATCTGTGAAACGATCTGGCCCGGCCTTCACTTTCGGTAGTGACAACAATTTTTAACGTATTGAATCTTTACTTTACACGCATCTTCAGTTTAGACTTGCTGTAGACATACAATGTTTTTAACCTACTTTTCTATAAGGCTTACTCTAACCTTTAACAGAAACAAGTTAGAAAAAAAGATCTAGTACTGCGCGGTCATATAGACCTCTACTGCCGTGACTGCATCGCCTCAGTTTATTGAATGCGGATTAAAGGGCTATTCATCGTTCGCTTTCTTTTTTCAAAAGGGTTTTAGCAAGCCTAAGAGTTAACCGCTTTTAATTTGAATTCAAAGTTTTTTTCAAATGCGGACAACGATATTTCATTTTCGTAAGGAGGAAACTCTTAATTACAATTCCTTGTTTTACTCTCATTTTTATCGCGACTTAGCACCCACACTGGACTCCAACGCAAGGTAACTTTCTTTGCTGGATAGAAAGAGCTCCAGTTCTTAATGAGGGCCCCTTCAATGACCGGAAGAATTTCAACCTAGTGTAGATAAATGCATATAAATCAGCATATCCAGCCATTTTCTAAACAAGAGCTAGGTAAAAAGGACGAGGTTTTCGAGAAGAACTAACCGGTCACGAATTGACTCGAGCAGAGTAGAAACAACAAAGCACAAAGGTTTTCAGTATTCTTTGCAATTTGTTAGAAGTCATGTAAAATTGGAATTACGTCGGTCAGTTTTTAACGGGCTAAAAGCCCGGTTCTTCTCGATTTTCTAAGAAACCACTACGCTGCTGAAAATTCATACGGATCTGCTTGAAGGAATGGGAGTTTACCCCGCGCACGACCTCAATATCACCAAAAGCTTTTTCTATCTTTCAGTTGTCGTCTGCACGCTCTCAAGTAACTCAGTAATTGTGTTTTCATTTTTTCAAAACTACAAGATGAGAACAGTGACGAACACAATGGTTATTAACCACTGCCTCACGGACATGTTGATGGTAATGTCAGACGTTGCATTTTATATCACTCCCGGTTACATCCCCAGTCTAACGGATAGCTATGTGTTCTGTATGCTTTCGGTCCTTTTCGACAGCTTATTCAAAGTAGCTTCGTTTCTTAGCATGGTTTGCATCGCGTTTGATCGGTACCACAACCTCGTCCGAACCGGTCGTAAAAGAATGACCAAAAAGCGAGTTGCACTTTTGATAGCTTGGGTCTGGACTCAATCCTCAGTGGTGGCAACTCCGTGGAATGAACTCATCAATAGTGATACCAGCACCAATACAAGTGCCTGTGCTTTGGTCAAAACTCTTCCTCTACTCTTAGAGACAGGATCTGCTTTCAGCACTCTCTCAGTTGTCTTCAAGATAACCTCCCTTCTCCTCCCTCTACTTGGTATCTACTGCATTTCGTTTCGCATCTTCAGCGCAGGACGAACAAGGCGGAGGGTCGATATTAAAAAACGCTCCAACATTCAACGCCGTTTTTCATCGACACACTTTGCCAACCGAACTGCTCGAGCAAAGATCACTGCGATTTTATTGCTCGGTATCTACACCGTTTTTACAGCGCCATTTCTTGGCACTGTTATGTGGACGATGTTTTCCAATGATCGCGCCCTTGAACCAGGCGCAGCGTTCGCTGTAAACTTCTGGCTTCGTCTGAAAGGTGTTTTATTTCCAATTCTCTACATTACAAGAAACCGCGCCGTTTTAAACTCCGTCCAGAAACTGGTTTGCTGCAAATCACGAACTCCTTACTCTTCGGATGCCTTCGTAATCCCTGGTATTAGAAAAAGAGGTATCCTCAAGAACCATCCCAAAGGACCGGCACAACGTATTAGTTTAAGAGGTCACGGAACGGTAGAAGAGCTGGGAATTCTCTGTGTAGCGAAAAATACATTAACAAAGCCAGTTAATTTTACAGATCTACGTAAGGAAAGACGCGTTTCTATTACAGAAGAAACATCGATATAAACGGGCCAAGGTGCTCGGCGTCTTTCTTCAAACCCAGGTGGTCAAACCCAGGGCAATGGTCTGAACTTTAATAACGTTTAGAACCTTGGACTTCGAAATCAGGAATATAGTTCAAAACCACTTAAACACAGCAGGTATTTTAGTATTTAAAAGGTAGATAACATATTTCTATCCCTAAAAATTTTTCATCGCTGAAAGTCTAGTGATCCGTTCAAAACTAGCAGCCAAAAAAAGGCTCCCGAAAATTTTGTGTTAAAAACCGTTAAATATGGGCAATAATACCATTTTTTAGACGCTCGAAAATCCTAGGAGAGGCAGACAAGCAAGAAATTTGACAACAAATGTTCCGAAAATTCTAGATGTCATGCAAATCGTCTTCCAAACAGATATTTTCCGAAAATTGACGTTGCGTGCCCCTGAAAAATAAGGTGAGAGCCCAAAGAAAGTGGTTATACTCGATAGAAAGCTCATGTTCGAGAGAAGCGAGGCTTTTCCTTCGAGGAACGTCAACTTTACTTTGCATAAATAATGAACCCGACCTGTATAACACTTGATTTTTAAAGCATTTGTCACTCATCTTCTGCATTGCACCTGACTTGTCCAAGAAACTCAGGCTGCAATTACTTCGGGAAAGAAATAACCGGAACTGTTACTCTTTATTTTCTATACTGAAATTAAAAGTGACGAGAAGAAAGTAGCCTGAGTATCAGACCTTCCTAAGGGGCTAGGGGAGAGGAGATTTTAACCCTTCTTCGCTTCCATCTTTCCCCCTTTCCCCCAGAAACGCCTGATACTCAGGCTAAGAAAAAAGAGACTTCCCCACACGTGACTGATATCATTTTAATTTTTCACTTCGCTGACAAATGCAGACTGCAGACCGGCAGATAAACAAGATAAACACTGTTGGGAAATGCTTTAACAGTTCCCTATCCCTAAACTTAAAGTCGTCTAAGAGTCTTGTTTAGGGATAGGGAATCTGTTAAAGCATGCGCAGTAGTCACAAAAACCAGTTTGACGAAAGAAAAAATAATTGACTAGTCCAGAAGTTTGAGCTACGGTGGCTTCAACAGCTTGACGTGATTCAGACCAGAACCTCATTTCCTCCTCCTCTCTCAAGAAGAAGCAAAATGACCGGGGCTCTGCTCGAAGTATTGGCTGCTAGTCTTCACATGAGCCCGGTTTCCGAGATCTCGCCTCACCTCTAAACCCTTTGTAAAATTATCGATGTAATCACATGAAACGACGGGCTGGCTCTGTTCCTGAGATCTCAGTTTTTCCAACCGAGATCTCGGTAAGCTGGTTCGAAGTTTTGCCATAAAAACACTTCATTCATCCCCGTCACCAGGATGAAAGCGGGATGAATTCTGGCGGTCTGGATGGCATCGTCTTGCATTGCCTGTTGTATTTTCGATATAATAAACATCCCATTTAACTGCGGCGATACGGCTTTAAGAGTTGCCGAAGCTATGGTAGGCACGAAAGTTAAATTTTTGTTTCGCCATGTCTGCTTTGTTTCTCGAATTTGGCTCCAGAACTCGTCCCAGGATCTTTGGCCTTTTCTCGTCTCGGAAACCAGGCTGAAATTTCTCATATGAACCCAAGGCGAAATTCATCCCGGTCAACCGGGCTCATGTGAAGGGGCCCTCAAAGATCGAAAATTAGACACAACGAGCGAGCAAGCCCAAGCCTGTTTGAACAAAAAGAGAAAAACGTCTCTCATTTCACGGTAATCTTAGCCGTTTTCCCTGACTCCCCGCCAGTCTGAAAAGATTTCATAGGTTGTCAGCTACGATATCTGACAGCTTCCACTCCCAGAAAGTCTTACCGACCTCTATTACGCCCCAAAACAAATTGACCATATTAAAGCTATATTATGTTAAATTAGAAATAAGACAAGTCACGCATAAATTCTCTAAAAATTTATTGCAAAAAAACGCCTCCTAAACAGTAGGGCCTAACACTTGAAAACGTTTAGAAAAGACAGTAAGTCGGTGGCGAAACTGTTCTGCCTCATGGTTTACTTAGAATGTACAGGTGTTAGAAAGCCCATAAGAACTAAAACGACTAAACATTTCAAACTTCCATGACTGATAATGTAATTCAAAGCTGGCAGTAGGTAACAAACCTGGTAGCAAGCTTTCCCTCCCTTTCTCGGATCTTTCCGCTATCCCGAGTCGAACCCAGAGAAAGCCAAAGAGCCTGCTCTCAGGCCTGATGGTGAGGCCATTTTTGCTTTCTATAGTCAGAATAAGGCCCTGTCCACACTATTGCGTTTGCGTTTGAAAACGCACACATTTCCATCCCTTTAGGCCTTCCGTCCACACTAATACGCCGAGCGTTTTCATAAAAAACGCATCCATTTGAAAACGCTCTTGAAAGAGGATCAAAACGAAAACGCATTCATATCGTATTATTTTGGACGGTCGAAAATGAAAACGATGACCGATAATATCGCAGGGGCGTGTTGGTAGCATGCGCATAGAGTTCATTTTACGTCACGTGCAATTCTACCGTTTCCGAACGTTTTAGTGCAGAAAGTCGAAAAGGCAACAAAACGGTAGTGTGGACGCGAATCGATCGATGCGTTTTTGATGACAACGAAAACGCATACTTTTGAAAACGAATTAGAGTGAACAGGGCCTAAGATTCTCTTCAGCTGAATTCTGTATTTGGACATAAATATTTTTGAATGCTTGGAATTAGTCGTGTCTAATTGCAAGACTACCGCAAGGGCCAAAATATCTGAATCTGGTTAGTCTGAAAAGACACTAAAATAGATACATGTACCTAACATGATTAAGAAAAAAATCCTCAGCCTGTCTTTTACCGTTTAGGGCAAAGAAAATAACAGCTCTCTCATTTACGAAAATGTTCACAAATGATCTGCTTGACTGAACTCTAAGCGCCCCCGATCTCCAAGTTGTCAATAACGCTTAACCATAACCATATTTTTTAATAAACAAGGATAAAACTGATGTGATTTGTTCTGGTTAGGTCATCCCCTGTCTAGCGTTGTATCGCAAGTACGCAACCAGCGATGCGTACCTGCATGTTTATATAGCATAATTACCAGGCAAATGTGAACAGTGTCCTTGACGACGAGATCTGATTTCGATTGATTAAAGAAGCATCTACCTCACTTTCCCCTTACTCCTCTCCTCCTACGCGTTTGTTTTAAATCCATACAAGGAAGAGATTCTGTATCACCACAGGGTAACTAAGCTAGCAGTAAGTGCCTGTTCATTACACCATATTTCAGTAGATTTCAACTTTGTCTCAGGCCCACGTCGAGTCGATAAACCACAGGAATCCACTTCGTGCGACCAGACAGACGGTATTGATTCACAAACGTGTAAGACTGCGTGCGCACAAGAAAACCTCCGCGCAGACAACGACGCAATTAAAATGCCCCGGTATAAAACTACAACTTAACACCAAAAACGATGGATGTCCACACACGATTCATTCGTTTGCGCACCATTTTTGCCCATATCATCAACCATCCAACAAAGTAGAAATCGTCAAAAGAAGTAAAGAATGTAACGAAGAGAACACAGCCAAGCCATCTACTCGTACATCAGGTAATCATCCATAAATCCCCTCCGAAACAAACCAGGAAACAAGCCCTGCGCAAAAAGCGCGGGTAAAATGTCGGCGCGTTGAAAGTTGTACTCTTCGCGATCGCTGGATGAACAATCCCAGTCGTCTTTTAACACTCGCTCCAGCAGCTGCTCAAGGATTGGGTGCTTTTTTGCCATATCGTCGGTCAAGTTCTGAAACATGGCTCCCCTAGAGTCTGAGATACTAAAGGCTCTTTTGGCAGCTTGCAGCACTTCCTGCAGCCGAGTGCTACCTAACCTACCATGAAGGAGCTCTCTAATGATTTCTGATCGCTCAAGTCTGCGTCGATCGCGAATACGAGTTACTTCCGCGACCAAGTCAGCCATTTTCTCGCCCAAAAGAATTTTAGAGAACGCACTTAAGGTACTAAAACAGAAAAAAGAAATCGTAAACATCGTGGATTTTAAACGAAAAAAAACCTTACTCGATCATGTTAAGCTGCCCGAAATGCAATAGAAGCGTATTCAGTTTTCACTCTACAACTTCACAGTGCCCGGGTTTGTTTCTTAAGAGGGAAGGAAGAAAGGGGGGAGGGTTGGAGAAGGCAGAGGGCGAGGGGTGGGCAAGTTAGAATAAGGATCACTTTTAAAAGATAGAGAGGAGAGCTTGGACACCAAAAACAGATCATGAAAGTTAATTCAAATAGTGATCGAAGACTCGAATTTATCAAGACCGTTAACGTGTGAAGACTTACTTCTGCAGTAGAAGGCTAACGGGAGGATAGACCTGGGAAGCGCTTTTGATCCTAAAGTTTTGTCTCTCCTTCCTTGATGTAGCACTGCTACAAGCGACGTCCACGCACAGTTGGTCTCCGAGCTAAAAAAAGAAGCACTTTATAATTAATACTTAGAATCATCATCCCCAACACCGCTAGCTGCATGCTCTTTAGCGAAAATACTAACTGACTTAATATTTGTTCCCGTAAAGACAATTAGTAAAATCCAACTAGTGGTCTATTATCAATGCTGTGTTCTGATTGGTTGAGCTACTACTACGCTATATGTTATAGCCCACTTGTAGCGAAAAGCGTGGGCTTTTTGGCGGCAAAAAGGGATTAAAGTCTAGCTTTAACTAGCTTACATTTTTTTATTCTCGACACTTTTGACCAACTAGTTGGATTTTACTAAAACAATTATTCCTCTCGCCAACATGGCCTCTGAGTCAGTAGCCCATTCGGCCTTCAGCCTCATGGGCTATTGACTCAGAGCCCATTCGGGCTCGAGGAATAATTGTTAAATATTTGTCATTCAAACAGAGGGGTGAAATTTTGCTTCACCCTCTTAATCCCAGATTCATTAATGGAACTCAAGACACAAAGTGTAGTGAATTATTTCATCAGGGAAATTTGGATTTGGTTACTTCCGTTCTACAGTCTACTTGTTTGACTATTTAACCGGCCTGTAAGTCCCAAGAGTGACAAACATCTATTCGAGCGATTTTCGTATGACCTTGAAAACTGGTTTTGGTAAAGTGTTCGTTATTTGATTTATCAGCCAATGGATGAAAAGATCAAAACATGGACTCTGTTTTCCCGCCAAAAAAAACCCTAATATGGAGAGGGCATTGTTCGATTGGCCAATCGTGTTGAGATATGACGTCAAAGTGAAGTATCGGTTGATTTCTAGGAAGTTCTTCGGGCATGAAGTTTTTTCACCCCAGCGTTCGCTTAACCACCTAAAAGCCACGCTCGTTTGTATCCGTTCGATAAACCAATCAAATCGCTCTATTTCCGTTCGTTTGTTGTTTCTGTTTTGTTCGCGCGTTTTCATATCAAGGTCATACGAAAATCGCTCTAACAAATCAATACACAATCAAGAGAATAGGCTGTGAGAATTAATAAAATAACCACCTGGGGGAAAATGTTTTGATCTTATCATCAAATTCCCTCAACTTTTTCTTTATGGAAATGTATGAGACCAGTTTGGTCCCAATGGAGTCTGTCCTAGAAAGAACTTAATGTCTTTGGTCGCAATGTGTGAAACGGCTGGTAGCAGTTTTGCATGACACCTTTTTTCAGTATTTCCAAATACACCTTATTTACGATACCCGCCTTCTTTGCACGCGCTTTAGGACAGATGGGATAAAGTAATGCACGTGGTATTCAGGGAACAAGCAAGTGATATAATTTACCAATACGAGCAATCACTGGAGTTTCTCTATTCCCTCAAAATTAGACAATTATTTTGGTCGTGCAAAATTTACAGTTCAAATCTCGACAAGTTTAAGGTCTTTACTGCTCGCTGTGAGGACATCTACGGCCACTACTGCATCCAAAAACGGCAACAGTGATCACTTCCACCCACAATTTCTCATTATTGTTTTTAAAATAAAACGTTCTTCATTTTCAGTCGTATAGAATAAACAAACTTGACCGCGATTTCTTGTATCGGCAGACTTTTTCAGTTGTTGCCCCCTGAGAAAGCACGTGACATCGCTTTTATCCCATCAGTCCTTAAGCGCGTACAAAGATGGCGGGTATCGTGAATAAGGTCTATTAAATAAATATTGTGCGCTGAGCTACTGCTCCTTCTGCTATCTCTTTTTTTCCGTAGATAGGTATACAATTGACGATAATTGTGCTAATACTATCAGCAAAAGTCTGCCATATTTGGTTTAACAGAAGCCAGTTATGAAGAATTTATCCTGGGAATTTAAGGTGGCTCGACTGGATTTTTGGGGGTTGATACCTCCCAAGTTTGAGCATTAACTACGTCGGCATGAGTAAAGATGTGGAAAAAAGGTTACCACAACTGTATTATATAAAAATGAAAATTTCTTATGATCTGGATTTTATTGCAATCGGAGTCGCCATGGCAACGTAATGACGCCATTTCGTTTTTCATTTATCGTTGAGTTTCTCTGTACCAGGAGTTTTTTGAAGAAATCGCGTAAGGGAGTACATACCTGCCATAATTGACTCCATTATGGCAAAGTTTGAAAAAATTCTATGAGAGCGTTTTTGAGATATTTCGAAATGCAGTTTTAAGAATCATCAAAGCAGTGAAATAGCATGCTAGCCGCTCAATTCGCTAATATTTTAAGAAAATGATAAGCTTTGGGAACGCGGCTTCATCTCATAGTGGTTTGATTCCATTGAAAACTGCATACAAAAAATGAGGGGAATTGCTCTGGGCGATCGCGAGTAAGAAGAATTTTATTAACTTGCATTCAGCTGCTTTTGATACAGTTTTTGGACGTAATTTGGTCCATGTCTAAAAATTTCGCATTTTCCCAAAAACTGCTGGATACATTTTTTTCTAAATTCGACAATCCCAAGATCAATCGTCAAGAAATATTCCATGGAAGGTTTAAGAACATTGAAAACAAGGAAGGCTTTTAAATAGGGCCTCAAATATAGCCAATTTTCCCCCCAGATTTTGTGTTTACAAGTGAGCGTCCTCAGTATTCACTGGCATTGTTTTCAAGTTTCATATACACGTGCACAACCAGCAAAAGATATAAATTTGCATCAAAAACAACTCTCGATTACTTTCCGAAGAAATATCCGGAATATGCAAATAATTGGCTTGTCGTCATAGATAGCAGTGAGAGCTGAAACGGTGAGCGTCACGGCTCATCGTGTAGGATGCAATACTTAATTATCTTACTCGGGTTATAACGTCACAGAAACTCTCACAGAGAGTTGCTCTGATGCTATAATGTATCACTAAACTCTTTACCCGGTAATTAGCATATCCCGGAGATTTAACCGAGGGTCCTTTTTGATGCAAATTCTATCTTTTTGCTAAATTACGTTGCCATGGTGACTCCGATTACAATAAAATCCAGATCATAAGAAATTTTCATCTTTATATAATACAGCTGTGGTAACCTTTTTTCCAGATCTTTACTAACGCCGACGTAGTTAATGCTCAAACTGGGGAGGTATCAACCCCAAAAAATCCAGTCGAGCCACCTTAAGCCAGTCAGAAAAGGACAAATATTTTGAACGAATAATGACATTTCTTAAAACCTGACTTTGACCACTTCTTAGCCTCGGACCAGGCTCCTTGGTAGGATTAATGGAAAAAGGCTAGCTGGGTATGGAGGAGAGGAAGAAAGGGAGGCGGCCCCAGCCCCCCCTCCCTTTATTTTCCCTCTTCCGATCTCCTTGCGACATTTAGCGCCCTTTCCGCAAGCTACCACCTCTGGGAGCACAGGCGTTAATAAATGTAAAAGTTGTGTTTTGGGCACAAATTGCCGTACTCACTATTCTACCTCTTATACTGAAAATTCCAAGTAGAAACCTGTCTTGATCGCTTAGCTGCTATTTTATTGGTGGATACACCAGTACCGCATCCTTTATCTCATATTTTTCCGCGCGAAGCTAAGCATGAAAAATGTCATTTCTAATAAGTAAAATGGTAGCGTGTAGTAAGGGTCAATAACAATGGTGAGGGGAATTTTTCACTTGTACATCATTTCCGCTTTTTTTTCTCTCGCGACTTTAGGTTCTCATGAGTAGTGTCACCATAGGGAGAAATCGAATGTTAATATTTCTTAGTGGTAACAGAGACTCGAATCTATATTTCACTAGCACAAATTGAAAACTTTTTAAATACCTCTTGAAGGACCTCGAATAACCACAATGGATTTTCGACATAATTGACCAGG